TAAAAATGTTCTTTTTGAACTGAGCTGATGACAATTAGACAGAGTAGCCTCCTCACGCCTACTGCAGCACGTTCTGTTCAAGTTTTTGCATTTTAAATTGGCAATTTTGATTACTGTTTCAGACAACCATTAACGATATCCTCACCACACCTCAAACTAGTCAGCCGCAGAGGAAATGTAATTCAGTTTTAATCCAAAAAATGCTTAAACAAAGGTACCAGCCAAAAGCCGTCCCAATGAAATAATGATAGTTTAAAATGAAAAAGTAAATTCAGAAAAAGTTGTATATTATCGCTTGACGTTTGTATGAAACTTTTAACCACTCAGAACAGGAAGCAACTGCCAGCCGTATACCATCAAAATCCTCAGAGCCTGAGAGAACTCTTCAACAATAATAATCCAAATGATCAAGAACGCTGCAATACACTTTATCGCCACAGCACACATCAAGTGCGCCTAACAAAAGTATAACTTTTCAAACAAACAATACTTGGACAAAACAAAAAGACAAAAAAAAAAAAAGGCCAATAGTTTTAGAAAACTCCACAAAAAATCCTAATGATAAATTATGAGAGGCAAGCACAAATCTCCCTACTACCTCCATATTCTTCAACCTTCTATAAAATCTACCACTCTATACAGCTTACTAAACCAGCCTCAAAACGACTACAAGTAAACTTGAACTGGAATACGTACAGCATAAATGGATGGTTCATCACCCGTTTTCATAGGCCACTAACGGCATGTCAAACAAGCTTCTAGAGTTTTGTTACTGCAGTATTGCAAAACCATTGCACAAGTGTAAAAAGTACCTAAAAGCATAATTCGTCAGAGTTTCAACTGGCAAAATCCCAACAGCTCCAAAGCACCGCTGTACATTCAATGCAGAGATGCCCCTTCCCGCCACAAAATTCTCTCAGAATTGACTATCTCTCATTGGCCCAGTTTTTTTGCACTGTACTCCAAATGTTCCCAAGTGATCTGTGTCTGTCTGCTTGTCTAAACTGATGTCAACCAAATCAATAAACAGGGCGATTAATACTTCTGGTAGTAGAACAGCTGATTTAGAACGTAAAACAAAAATTATCAAGCCGGACTTAAACAAGTCAATAACAACAACAACAGCAACAACAACAACAGTGATTTAGCTGGTTGGTAATACGGAATTCCAAAGGTTTTGTTACTATGATAATTATGCAGTGGAGAACTACACAGAAGGATCAATTTCGGTGTAAAAGGACAGAGGAATGAATAGCACTTAAACTCCGAGAACCAATTATTCCAAAAGCCATAAAGAATCAACCAAGTCTTATATCTCTGTCTTAAAAGTTTTATTTTTTTGAGCAATACTTGTACGTTGGATCTCACTCAGTTTTACTTCATTTTACCGACTGATCAATAACTCTTGTTCAGTACAGCATATATGAAGTGATTGAATTCAGCAGCAGTCGCAGTTATCCGGTTAGATACAGAGAAGAAAAAATAGTTAGATAAATAAATTCTAACAACAAAATACAGCGAACACTGAATTGTTCAAAATACGCAGAACATCAGAGGAATTATTGTGCCTTAACAATTAACGAATAGCGAAACATAGAATCACCAAAGTGTTCAATTAAGAGGCAAAAAAAAGACAATACAGCGACATGATCTCAACAGACTATTCCGTGTAGAAAAAATCAAAAGAAGAAGAAAAAAGTTGCTACAAACAAGCACCAGAACAGATTTTTTAGACGCCGTAAAGTTAAAAGAAATTGCTTTGAGGTAAAGTATTAAGATAAACCATCCCTGGCTCTTCCATCTTTCCCAATCAACACCTTCAAAACCATTTCGCAAATAGCCTACAAAAAAAAGCTAAACAAAGCGTTCTCTTCTATTAACTCGTGTTCAGCCCCACAATTAATAAAAGATAAATAAAAACAAAATAAATGCTTTAGAAAAAAGAATATAGGTCTGATAACTGGAAAAAAAAAGCTCCTTGGTGGGGCTAAGGAAGGAGCTGATAGACAGAGAAGAAAAATACAAGTGATTATCCACAGAGTCTGTCTTTTAATTAGATTTTGAAAGATTAATTACTCAAGATAAAAACTATTTCAAATTTTCTCTGGCCTCCTTCGTAATAATCAGTATTGAGATATAAAAAAGTTCTCTTACGGTACTGTAAAATTTGAACAGCAACAAGTCTTCGATTAATTCTAATCTTACTAGTCAAAATAATTACAGGTATTATCTCTACGAGATGCTGACAACGCGCTAAAAGCTTAGAAATACCGTCAAGAAAAAGATCCACAAGCCGAGACCTAAAGCAGCTAACACGGACCTTGTGCACAGTCATCCACTCTACTAAATTTTCTGCCACCTGCAAACAGCTCCGGTATGTATGAAAAAAAAAAAAAAAAAAAAAAAAAAAAAAAATTT